GGGGCCCTCTGGCGTCCCAAGCCAGCTCTTAACCATCGCGCCACTCGGCCGGCTCCCTCTGCCACGTTTTAAAAATAACATCTCAAGCACATCACTCCATGAGCCTCCGATTTTACTAGACCTGATTTACAAGAACTTTCGAGGAGCCGTGCTTGCGAACGCGATGGGTGATGTTACTGGTTCCACAAAGACCTTCCAGAGCTCCTGCAGCAAACAGAGAAAGGCGAGATTCCCCAGATTCACAAACGAGGCGTCATAATCTCACAAAGGGACGTCATTAGCGAGAGGGCAAAGGACATGTGGGCCAAGGGTAACATGCAAACCCCTGCGGGAGGGGGGGGCCTTCTCTGATCTCCGTCACTCTGGGCAGTTCTTCCTGCTTCACTGTGGCCGAGAAGCGGGATGGATAAGTCCCGGCGTGAATCCCGGAGGCGTCAGGACGCCGGCTGAGCAAAAGGGGCCGAAAGAACGGCAGCACGTCGCCACGACTTCTCCATCTGGGGAGGCCGTCAGTGTCGTGCTGCGGCTGCTGAATTTACACTTGATCTTAGCCAAAAGGCCGAGAAGCCATTGTGGCTGCTGAATTTACAAGTAGCTGCCTTTTTTTTTTTGCCTCTTAATGCTGTCAGGTGGAGAAGGTACAGAAACATGCCAGGTTCTTAGAGGAAGCTTTGCGACCTGACTAGCAGAGGTAGCCTGTTCGCCGTCTACTGGGAGGCTGACGGGCAGCGAAGCTGCCCAGGGGCGGCGAGGCCATAAACAGAAAGCGAAAGTTGGACAGTGAGGGAGGCTCACAGGAAAAAAACAGAACCATTTGAAACGTGTTGGAGGAGAGCTCCACAGGTACCCTAGATGGACAGAAAGACACACAGTGGGTCCTAGAGTAAATGAGGCCTAAAACATCACTGGAGGCAAAGATGACAGCACTGAAGCTGTCCTACTTTGAGCGCATCGTGAGAAGGCCGGGTGCTTCGGAAAAGACAGTCATGCTGGGAAGATGGAAGGCAGCAGGGAAAGAGGGAGACCNGATGCAAGAGCCATGAATTGTTGGTGAAAAGTTCAGGTCGTCTAACTTTTTCATGCAGCCTTTTCAGCACTTCCAAATAGTAAACTTGGTTAACTTGTTGGTAACTCCAGTTGGTACAAAGTCATAATGAATAATCCCTCTGATGTCAAAAAAAAAAAAAAAAGGTTAGCAACATCGTTGCAACAAATTCGCGAACTTAATTGTCACACATAATTCTCTTAAACTTGATAGGGAGCATGTGTCAAAGTCTCACTTAATTCATAAATGAGGGATTATGCAGGGTGACAGAGTTGCTTCAAAAGAGAATACGAAAAGCAGAGATTTTTATAGTGAGTGGGAAAATGGTGAGATGAAATCGCCATGAGACACAAATGTGGCTAATGTCCTAGGAGGGCAAAATCACTGTGCTCCTTGGGATTGTCTCCCTACTGGACAGAAAAGACAATCACCACCTGTGATTTTGCTGTAAAATGCTTGCACCTGATTGCCTGTGTACCCAAGTACTCCCCTCATAGACACTCTAGCGATCTTTTCACCTCACTTCTGGTTTTTTGCATGACCCGACATACGAGTATGGTATGTATTTACTTACGTTTATTGCCTGTTGCCTCATCTAGTATGTGGGCTCCCTGAGGGCAGGGATGTGAGATGTCTTGCTCCCTGCCACCTCCCCACGCACCCAGTCAGTATGCAACATGTGGAAAGTGCTCGATAAATATGTGTAGAACGACCGGGGGTGCATCAGGCTGGAGAATGAATATGGTGTATGACGCCATTCCTGTCACCCCGGAGCTCTCAGGGAAGTGCGACAACCAGGGGAACAATAATCACACCAAGTCTCAAAGGGCTGCGTCAGAGAACTCAGGGGCTGTGGACACCCGGGAAGGCTTTCTGGAAGAAGGAATAAAGGAGGGACTCAGTGAGCATGTTTCAGGGGTGCGGGTAGATCAAGGCTCCTGCTAAGAGTGCGGTGCATTCTGGGAGCAGGAGGGACTTCAATATGGTGGACAGGATGGATTGGAAAGCAGGCAGAGGCCAGGCCTCGAGGGGCCTCATGGGCCCTGCAAAGGAGTTTGGGTTTTATGCAATGGCCTCTCGTGGCAGATGTCTACAGTAGAGGCTTGACACTCACGACAGCCAGCCAGCCTGAAAAGCAAGTCCCCAAGTTCACAAAGATGTACACATTCATAGCAAGAAAAACTTCCATCATATTTACGCTGGAGAACACATATTTTCGAAGATCTCATGCACGTGCTCATGGTATCCTGCTAGCCAACACCCAGTGTACGCTTGGGGAAATGGGGCATTTTCTGGAGCCGCGGAGCAGGGCGCAGGGGTGGGGCAGAATCTAGCTCTTGGAGGGCTGACCCAGGAGGTTTCCTCCTCCTCTTCCTGTCTCCTGCAGCTTCTCAGCTTGCAGTGTTTCCCCACCACTCAGTTCCCATTGCTGACAGCATGTCCCTTGGGTTCCGTTTGAGCTTCCTGGGGCTGCTGTAACAAGTTACCACAAACTGGGTGGCTTACAACCACAGAAATTTATTATCGCGCAGCCCTGGAGGCCACACTCCCTCCCAAGGCTCTGGGGGAGGGTCCCCCCTCTCTTCCACCTTCTGGTGGCTCCGGGCGTTCCTTGGCTGTGGCAGCATCACTATAAACTGCCTCTGTCATCACGGTGCCCTGTTCTCTGTGTGTCTGCAACCTGCCCCTCCTTTCTCTTCTACAGACGCCTGTCTTTGGATATAGGGCCCATCCTACATTTAGGATGACTTTATGTCAAGACCCTTAACTTAATTACATCTGTCAAGATCCTTTTCCCAAATAAGTTCCTATCGTAGGTTTTGCATTTTAGGACGTGGACATATATTTTTTCGGGCGGCTATTCAACCCACTGCAGTTTCAGAAAGGTTTGGAAAACAGTTTGTCTTTTCTCAGGAATGACTGAAATTGTCGAGCTCCAACTAGAAGATAAGGAACCTGGGTTTCATTGGGTTAAAGTTCCTTCCTCTTCTGCGATCAAGGTGACAGCAGATTCAGTGTCTGATAAGGGCCCCGCTTCCTGGTTCATAGACGGCTGTAGTCTCATTGTGGCCTCACATGGTGGAAACGGGGGTGTGTGTTGTCGGGGAGCTTCCTGGGCTCTTTTTAAAAAAAAGATTTTATTGAGGAATTGGGGAAGGGGAACAGCCAAGTTATTGTCCTTCAATCTTAGTCGTGGAGGGCGCAGCTAGCTCAGCTCCAAGTCCAGTCGCCATCTGGCCCCCTCTGGGATATTCATTCATTCATTCATTCATTTATTTATTTAGCTGAGCCATCCTGCTACCTGTTGGCAGCTCAGCGGCAGCTCAGCTCGGGCCGGGACTCGAGCCGCTGTTGCTCAGAGCTCACACTCTTGAGCGAGCTCTTCACCAACTGAGCCACTCAGCTGGCCCGATGGCTCTTCTGCAGGCTCTTGTCAGGAGACACAGTCACCCAAGCCAGAAAGCTGGACGTCATCCTCAGGCTCCTCCTTTTCCTCTGCCCCCGACTCCCAAATGACTCGGGAACAAATCTGTGCTCACATTTAGGTGGGCGAGAAAATGAACAGGTTGGGGTAGCCTGGAACCTGGATGGGAGCTGGCACTCAAGAATGACAAGAATGTCCGCTGTGACTATTAGAACACCATCTGGCTGCATGTCCCCGTTGGCGGGCTTGCCTCTCCCTTCCAGATCACGCAGCCCCCCGAGACACCCCTGATGAGCCCACCTTTGGGGAATCCCACCCCTGGGGAGTCCCCTCCCCGAGTGTGGGCTGGACTTCGTGACTCACTTTTAAAGGGGTGAATTATGACGAAAGTGATGGATGTCATGTCTGAGATCAGGTTACAAAAGATCGGCTGTCCTGCTGGCGCCCTCTCTGCTCTTCTCCTGTGCTTGCTCTGATTAAGCTGCTGTCACATCACCAGCTGCCCTCTGGACAGCCCCACATGGCAGGGGTTGGGCTGCAATCGAACAAGCTCCCGGGTGAAACTGGTGCTGCTGGTCCAGCAACAGCACTGAAGAGGGAGGCTGTGGAGTGTCATTCCCAGTTAAGGGCACCGACTTGGGTTGGAAAGACCTGAGTTCAAATCCTGGCTCTTCCTTGGACCTGCCCGACGACCCTGAACAAATGACAGAGCCTTTCTGAGCCTCAGCTGTCTCATGTGTGAAATGGTAAGACTTCCTCTCTTTACAAAGGCACTCTGAAGATATCTGCTGATCCATGTAAGACGCATGGGGACATTTTCCATAGATTGTAGAAATTGTCCTAACAGAGTTTTTTGATTTGGGAGCATTTTCATGATTTATAAAGCTTGACTGTCACCTTGTTAGATTGCAGCATTGAGCCCCACCCAGTACTGAGCCAGAACCTGCAATCCGGGAGACCCTGGGTGACTTCTGCGCACAGTCATTGGAGAAGTATTGGGGGCCGTGGCAAACCACTGTTAGTTGGTTTTACCACCTCTTTTCTGTGAAGGCTTGCACAACCAGCTCCCCTCTTTGGGTTATATGTTACTCCAAAAATATCAGAATGTGTCAAAATAGAATTGAGTCCAATGGGCTGGGTGAATTCCCCCAGAAGAACATCTCGATGGGTTGATGATTTTGAAATACTGCACTAAACAAGCACTTAGAGAGGCTCAAGCAAAGCCATAAAGCACGGTGATAAGGGCGCATTTCGAGTCTGAGAAGTTGAAAATCTGACGATTCTGTGAATTACAGTGGATGAAGGTTAATTCCAGGCTCCACTCAGAGGAAGCTTTTAGGCTGAGTGGTTTAGATACAAAAGCATTCACCCTCATGCACCAGGTGAAAGGCAGGAGAACTCTGTTGCTTGGTGCCAATTACATTTATGGGCTTGTCCCCAGGAGTGCTAGGAAAATGCCACCGTGAGTGCTGACATATTGCCAGTGGAGGTCTCTGTCTAGCGGGATTCTCTGTTGAAGACTCATTATCAAGATATCCCGTAGTGATCTGTGACTCTGCTCGATTACGGCAAGTCTGTCAGGGGCGGTTTTGTGTAGGAACCTTGGAAAATGGGAGCAGCTCAAAGGCTATGCTTCTCAGAACCACTGTGCACACAAGTCACCTGGGGCCGTGTCCAAAATGCACCTTCTGACTCAGGCCTGCACTGGGGCTGCTGCTGTGGTTCTAACAAGCCCTCAGGTGGTGCCACTGCCACTGATGCCGGTGGGAATGTGGGGGAGGCATGGGAATGGGGGACAGGCGTGGGCTCCGAGCCTGACTCTGCCACTTGGCGGCTGTGTGATGCTGGGCAACTTGCGAAGCCTCTCTGTACTTCAGATTTCTCATACATAAAATGGGGATCACTTTTGCCTTTTAGGGTTCTTATAAGATTTAGGGATAACGTGTGTAGATTTTCTTCCCACTCCCAGAGGCGAGTGGGGAGAGTCATTATCTCGAGTTGCCTTCACTGCAAGTTCAGCCAAGGCCCATTTTTCTTTTCTCAAGTAGCTAATTTTCTTCGTCCAGGTCAGGGTTTCTCAACCTTGGCGCTATTAACATTTGGGGCTGGACTCTTCTTAGTTGTGGGGGGCTTAGCTGTGCACTGTAGGGTATTCAGCAGTACCTGCCTCCTCGAGTTGTAACAACCAAAAATGTTTGCAAATGTGGCCCAGTGTCCCTGAGGCCTGCACCTGGGAAACACTGTTTTAGCACTAATTCGTATTAGTGATTCATTCAACAATATGTGCCAAGTATCTACGCTGGTCCAGACCACATGCCAGGAATATGCTGATATGAAGACAAACAAGGTCCTTGACCTCATGGAGATTGGCTCTTTGGAGCCTCAGTCTTCTCAGCTGTTAAATGGGTATAACCTGGTTGACCTGGAGTTGTTGGGAAAGATGAAATGAGTTAAGACTTGCAAATGCCTGGCCCCTGGTGTCCAGGTAAGCCAATGACCGCAGGTATGATGGGCCTGGGAAATGAACCTGGGTGCTTGAGGAGAAGTGCGTGTGGGCAGAGAGGGGCCATGCCAGGCCCTGGAGGAAAGCATGCAGCAGGTGGGGGGAGGGTGCTGCAGGGCGGGCCAGGAGCAGCAGAAAGATGGGACCCACCCTGGAGGGGAGAGGGAGAGACAGCCGGGAGACGGGGTCCGGAGCGACTGGGAGGGTGGCAATAGGCGACACACAGAAAGAGGAAGATAACAAGGCAGACAAGCCCCAGGCACTGGGGACCCAGGTGGAGTGGGAGGCGGAGGGGAGGCGGGAACTAGCCCCTGCGGAGGAGGAGAACCAAACGCCCACGAGGCAGATCCTCATGGAAACGCGGGGCAGCCACACAAGACCCAAAAGACGGCTCTATGTGTGTGCTGAGCGTACCTGGTTTTGGTTATAAAGGGTTAAAACAGAGAACAAAGGCCATTTGCCAGGTGAAGTCCTGCCTCCTCCTCCCAGGGGCCCTGACCACACCGGAAGGACAGGGATGCAGCACCCACGGCCTGGGAGGAAATGAGGCTTCTGTGTGTCGCTCTGTGTGGCCCTGCTGCAGCAATTGTGGCCACGATACTAAACCCATTTGTGAGCCGTCAGCAGAGGGGAGCAGTCACATTCTCCGGATGCTACAGGGAGGCAGCGCCAGGCGCCAGAAAACCGTCTTGGGTCATATAAGGTCCCTCTGCCATGTTTTTGCTTTTTAGACTTTTTTTTATTTTTTATTGGGGAATTGGGGGAAGGGGAACAGTGCTGGGGAATTGGGGGAAGGGGAACAGACAAGTTGCTGTCATTCTGTTCTTCAGTCTAGTTGTGGAGGATGTTGCTTCACTGGCCCAAGTTGGCACCATCGTTGCGCTCTTCCCGGGCGAGGCAGATCAGTCGCCGGCTTCTGGACGGCNAAGAAAGGTCACACACTTCTAGTCTAACGACTAACAGACAATGATGCACAAAGGTGCTCACTGCAGTGCAATTGATAAATACAAAAAAATAAAAAACCCCGAAAAACATGAGAACAAACAAAATGCCCAGCAAAAGAAAAATGAAAAAAAAAAAAAAAGATGAAACATTACCTGGACATTAAAATCATATGTATAAATAATTTTTAATGACATGGGAAAATACTCTCAAAAATGTTTTTCAATATTTTTGGGAGGATACAGCACTGTATATATGTTTCCCCAAAAATAGGACCTAACTGGAAAATAAGCCCTAGCATGATGCTCATAATATAAGCCCGACCCCAAACATAAGCCCCAGTTAAGATCGTCAGCCAGACATGACTGTGAATAAATGTAGACACTTGGACATGAATAAATGAATAAATGTAGATTGTTGGGACAAAAATTAATATAAGACACGGTCTTATTTTCGGGGAAACATGGTATACACACACACACACACACACACACACACACACACACAGAGTTTGATTTCAGATATTGTTTGGGAATCTGTACACACAAAGGAAAAGGAAAAAGATTATAAAAGAAATATACAGTTAATATATAGATTCTAAAACTTAAGCTCCCCGAGGACAGCAACCTAGCCTGTTTTATTCACTCCTGGATCCCCTGCATCCAGAACCATGTCGGGCACATAGTAGGTGCTCAATAAACTGCAATGGCTGGATGAATCTGGGGATTATAAAATTATGAGTAATTTTTATTTGCTGTTCTACAAGTTTTCTAGTAAGAGGAAGAAAGGTTTCTATATTCAGGGGGGAAAAATAATAAACTTGTTTTTAAGCCTTATAAAAGATACGTCTTCATGGCTTTCTGAAATGTCTGCTCTTTGGTAGATGAGTGAGCAAAGGTACCAGCAGAGCCACTGGCACCTTCTGAAGTGGAAGTGGTCCTGCACCTGTTGGGTTCTGCTGCCACTGAGGACTGGGTGTTGCTGGGTCATTCTGACATTATTGAGAAAACCAGCGGAACAGCACGGCAAAACCACTAGCAGCCAATGTCCCACTTCCGGTTTCACTCCCTCACTTTTTTTACAGTCAGGACATGCTCTGGGATGGTGGGCGTTACCTGTACAATACACCGTCCGTGCCACAGTGGCTGCGACGATGCTGGCAAGCCCCGTGCCAGCCCCGAGCTCCAGCATGGTGCATCCCTGGAAGAGGTCCCACTGGAAGAGGATGTAGTCAGCCAGGAACAGGGCACCCCGCCACACCTGGAGGGAGATGGACAAGGACGGACAGGTGATGTGAGGCTCAGGAAAGACCCTTCAGGGCCATGAAAAGTGCACAGGACCTACCCACCTGCTTGCCAACATCCTCCAGGGGCGTGGCCATGGTGTGTTCTGGACAGGATGGAAATCAAAAGAGAAAGGGCCACTGTGAAAATGGGGATGGACAGAACACAGACAGATGGGGCACACAGCAACCTACACACACAGTGGGCACTGGAGTCAGGCGTCTAAAGAGCAGCAGAAACACAGAATATGCTCCCAGTCAGGCGGGGCCATTTGAGCATCACTCACAGGCCAGGCACCAGGGCTCACTGTCTCAGATGACTGGGTCTCTGTGCCCCCCAGTCTGAAGACTAGGGTCACAACAGGTCTTGGCCCAACCTAATCAAACACCCCCCACACACACTCCCATTTTTTTATGTTCAATAATTGCATATTACAATTGTCATGTTTATATTGTTTTGACCAACTGCACACTGATAATAATCGCAACTCATTCCAAAATATTTCCTTACACTTAGTACCACACGAGAAGTTACCAAAATAAGCTTTGAGTTTAAATCCTGTTTTAGGTGAAGAGAAGTATGATAAGAAGCGTGCTCAAGCACAAAATAGGTCAGGATAAAATCTGGTGGGGGGAGCTGGGGGGAGAGGTTAGAAATATGAAATCGAGGAGAAAAAGGAACGATGGCAAATATTTTTGTTGTGCAATAGGAATGGGCTCTTGTATTTTTTGAAGCGAGTAGACAATGACTATCAAACTGACACACATGACACATGCATGGTCGAGTAGCCTCGCATGCCCCCATGGCCGGGCAAGCATCAAACCGCAAACTCACAACACAACAGGAGCAGGGACCGAGGGACTGAGGGTCTGCCCCAGGGGGTGACGTGGGCAGCCTGCACATCCCCTGTTTGTTTTTGGT